GGAGAGAGCAGGATACGCTGTTCCTCCTTCAGCTGCAAGGACCAGAAGGTGTATCCTCATACCCAAATGTGTAATAAGCTCTAGAAAGAATAATTAAGAACACATTTGCTTAAAAACTATTAACAAAAGTGTAAGACACCAAATAATATAGTTTTATATCAAATACAATTACTATTAACTAAACCACTGCAGTGGCCTTAATTGTGATATAATTAGCTTTTTATATTCAACTAATGGTTAAATGAGATGCATAGAGAAATTCGTGTGGATTTTCCTACACTTAAGCTTTTTGAGTCTTTGGATAATAAATTTAACATCCAAAGTAATAATAAGCTGTCAACACAGCAAAAGGATATTTAAATAGCGTGAATTGCAGAAAAGAGCTCGTTCGGCAACGTACAAGTATTAATTATACGATGCATTTTTCTACAAATTATTATCATACAATCTTAATGTCAAACAGACTATTTTAAGTTATCTCTATCTATGGATGACTTTTTGTAGACACGCTATTAAATATCATTGAGGTTAAACAGAAAACAACTTGAGAGGAGATGTACAACATTCCCACCTTTCTTTCCTCTCCCCTCTGTTTTTCTTGCTGCCTGTAATTTTTGATAAACAAGTGACAAGGGGGGTGGTGTCTATGGTGGTAACTGTTCTTAGCAAAATGCATGATGGGATATGTAGTTTATAAAAGGACCCAGCCAATAGAGGCAACAAAAAAGAAACTTCAACTCCCGTACACCCTTTCCCAACTGACAAAGTGATTTCACACTAACCAATCACCTTCAAGGATCCTAAAGGTAACGCCCTAGAATGGTGTAGACGTGCGCTGATTGGTTGAAATCTTCCGCCTGTCAAATTTCCAGCCCAGGCGTCCCTCCCCTTCAAGTTGCTACCTCTTATCGTTTCTGCCCTGGGAGTCTGGTCAGTGCTGACAGGCAAGGCGTAAAGTAGCGGTAAAGCTGCACCGAAGAATGTGTACAAAGTGAGTATTTGTTACTGACACTATTTCTTTTTGACTCCCGGTGACGGTTTAGTACATGGGGTATTTTACCTCACCGCAGTTTTTGTTGTACTTTACTGGTTGTTTTTGTTAACGGTCAGCTTGAAAACACTGACATGAATGGCAGAGACACCCAGACAGACTGAATGGACCCGAATAATACGCGAAAATGAGAAAAAAATTGGGATGAAATGCATAGTTTTGTATAAATTATGATTTTAAATTATCTGTTTAAATTAAAATACAGCACTGATGAAAGATTTGCAACATGATTGATGATGGTCTTTGTTATTATGCAGACAGGTATAATTCCTGTTATGTTTTTGTTGTGTAATCTTCATCGTCTAAAACAGCCCGTTGAAGAATTTTGACCGAGATTTTTTATTATGGACCAAATGGTGATAAACAACTAATAAATTATTTTATGATGCTTAATTAATTAGGTTCAGGCCAGTAAGAGAGTCTCACTTTATGTTAACTTGAAGGACCGTGACATACTAACACTGAACAAAAATGTTTCGCATGTTTGGGCATGTATATACTAAGTAGGCTACACTAAGGGTTCCCATACGCTGCTCCTACTGTTTGAAGTAATAAGTTGCCACAGTGCACAGTGCTGCCCCTCACTGACCTGTTGCTGGACACTGCCAATCAGCTAGCTAAATAGACGGCTTCTATCCTTCCCCTTACTTACTGTAAATACAAATTTGGCTGATTTAAAATATTTCCAGTCACAAAACATGTTAATGCTGTGAAAAGTAATGGAGCACTGCCTATCCCCAGATAGTCAGACCAATGAACCAACTAACATATTTTACTTTGATTGATTTATTTTTTTTATTCATGCTTACACTGAGAAATAGAACTAATCAAAAGTTATATTATTGATACTAATAATTAACAAACACATAAATATAAACACGTCTAATATCTTTTTTTCAGCCCGTTGTAAGGCAGCAAAAGCATTAGTCCTATATAAAATGATGGAGATGCAGCATCAGGAGTCTTTGGGGAGATGGGATGGGCTGAGCAGCCGGGATGCCTCCTCCAGAGCTGAAGCGATGGAGTTCATCTGCCAGGAGGTCATGAGGAAAGTGGAAGCTATCGAACCCAAAAAGGCCGCAACCCCTGCCCTAGGAAGCTCTCCCAACAGCGACCTGAACGACATCCTGGTTCACCTTCTCATGCTCTCCAGACGGTGCCCGTTTGAAGATGTCAGAGGGCGCTGCACTCAGCTCCTGCGAGACATCCAGGTAAGAGATATGACGAGCCTGATGAGCTTTTTTATTATTGTGCAGTGTTTGTTTTACTGTTGCTGCTGCTGCCACCTGTCATCCTCCTTTCCTCACCTCTTAATAAGCATTGCAAACATTGTGGTTTACTCAACACTCTGCAAGACTACAGTATGTTTTTGTGAGATTTGTCGATGTTTTCAGTAGCACTACAAAGCACCGTTTTCCTCTTATTCTCTAATCTTCTCAAGAGGTAAGTATTTTGGTGCACCAGAGCATATCCACAATTTAAATTAAACAAACCACAACACCAGAAAAAAAAGAAGAAGAAGAAGAAAAAAAAAACTACTCCAGTCAATGATCTTTGCCTGGAAAGAAAATAAATACTACTTGCTCTAGGTTTAGTATGTAGTATTTTGTTTTATGTAGTTTTGTAAAAAGAAAATTAAATAGCTATATTGACTTGGAGAGCAAAAGTGTAACAAAAGAAGGTGCTGACAGTGCCAACATTTGAGCTGGTTTGCATACATTGCATACAGTGGCAGAGTTTGTCCATGGCCGGATACAACAGACCACATTCACGAGTTAAAATGTTTTGATTGCTTCAAACTCGCCTGTTTTACATTAAACACTTGAAGTGTCACTCTTGATTGAAATGACAGCACTTTAGTCAAGAGTGAATGAAAAGTGTAAACTTAGAAACAGTTTTGCTGTTTTAGGAGACACGATATTTACCCTCAAATATGATTTAATCTGGATTTAATCAGAAGCTTTGTGTTAGCGCATTTAAAGTTGTCACAGTTAAAAATATAAACTTTTCCGTTTTGTGTTTAGTTGGAACTTTATTTTATGTTCAGATTTTTATAATTAAATATGTTAATTAGGGCAGTGATATGGAAAAATTACCCATATTGGAGAATAAAAACACATTGCACAGATGAATAGAAACTGAAGACCAGCTTGTAAACACTGATATCATAATCTGTAGGCTAATTCAACATGGGATTATAACATATTAAACATAGTTTTAGGCTGTTTGAACTGAACTCAAAACTAAGTCTTGTTTTGGGTGAGCTTAGACAGAACTGATGGTGTGCCACAAATTGTATGCATAAGTCTGTGTAGGATTTTCTACCAGTAAAAGTCATTAAACTGAATCTGTAAAGAGAATTATATTCACTAAAATATCATTTATCAGCACATCTCCCAAAATTATCTTTTTTTTTGTATCTTACTTCTTGTATTTTGCTTTTATTGTCACACAGCGGATGTAGTCTTACTTTGTAAAGCTGCTGCATTCTTGCAAGTTCGCATTCATGTGTGAATTCAACTTGCTTGGCTTCATGCTGCGTGTTTGCAGGCAAAACAAAAATGTTCAGACCAGTTAGTGTTCGTTACTGTTTACAGCAACTTAACCGTAGAAGTCAAAGATTTCTTTATTGTCTGTATCATATTTTAGTCTTACTTGGTGATTTGATTATCATTTTAATGTTTTGTTTGATGTGATTATGTCTTATCGGTTTTTGGTTTTATGTGACCCTTTGTTTGTGTTGCAAAGGATTTTTTTTTTCTAAATCTTTGTATGAATGGCGCTATACACATGCCTTGCCTTGTACTTACTGGTTTATGCTGCAGTAAGAGTTCACACAGGGAGCAATTTTTCACTGACTAATTTGACTGGTTACTTTTTGCTTGTAATTCTCCAATCTGTCACTCTCTACTTTTGATACTAAACTGCATTCCTCTTTTAAAACAAAGTTTCTACGAAGAACATTCCTCGTGTGTCAGTGTTACAGACCTGCTGGTGCGCCAGGTTAAATGGGAAGCACCAAATGCTTAGGACTGTATCAAATTACAAAAATGTCATAGCCATGCAAAATGGCCATGAGTGGGTTTTCTTTTTTTGACCATTGCTGAAAGATATATTGTTTGTGTCACATCCTCGAGTTCAGCTGTCTTCTGATCCCTAGAAGCTCTACAATTAAAGGTTTTAATTGAAATCATTTATTTATTTTTATTCTGAATCCCGGGTTAAGTTCGTTTCATTCTGTTCTAATGAATGAGTCCTCCAGCAGCAAACAAACCCTACCTTTAGGTGGCCGGGGCATGTTTGTTTTTCATAGGAAATAGGCCGTTCGACTGTGGCAGGATTCCTGTTTACGCGGAAGTGTTTTCTGAAGACGGAGGAGAGGGGCAGAGAGCTGAAAGATGGGGAGAAAGCTGCTTTGAGGGTTTTAGCGGTGCGCCACAGTACATGCCGTCTGGTATTTTTGAATTATGCTAAGCTGCGTTTGCACGACGCTTGCCAAAGAGTGCATTTATGAGCGTAGTGGAAATACATCTCAGAGTGTTGTTGTGATTTTCATGCATTAATACCTTTTCCACGTACACACAAACCATGCACCGTTCTCACACTTAAATGAATTATAAGTGACTCAAATTCCAGCAGATCCTATATTGAAGACAAAATCAAAAGAAAAAAAAAAAGGTTTTTCCTGATGTCCTCTAGCACAGGAAGGCCCCCTGCGAGGTGAGAGTAATGTACTTAGCTCATAAAACTTAGGCTTCAAGCAATTTTCTGCTATTTCTCGCTCCTTAATGTGTTCTATCAACTGTGGAAAAAGCTAATGTCTTTTTACATTAGTGGAGGTGGAAAAACATCAAAGAAAAGGCTCATTTTGAGAGATTTAACATCGTGGAAATTGCAAGGTTGCAGTAAGAACATGAGGTAGTAAACACAAGACGGTACATGTATATTTTTGCAACTAATGTTCTCTACCAAACCTACGAAGCTTTCACAGAACACATTTATTTATAATGAAAATAAATTGCAAACAGTTGAAGTCTGTTTAAGAATTATGCAACTTCTGAAAGCGGATTGTTGTTTTAGGGGCATGGCATGCTTCTCACGTGTCATTTTCATTAAAAATATTGAAAAAGTAAGTATTATTTATTTATATCTAAAATACATTATAGTACAACTGCTTCATTGCATTGGCTCTGGAGGCTTTAAAGTTTGAAATGCTGTGTTGCTGTAATGTTGCTGAGTAACAGAGGTCAGGGTTCACAGGGTCAGATTCAGAAATAGGGTTGTTGTGTGTTTAAAAAGGGGTCAGGTTCTCCATAAACTGCCGAAGTGTGAGGGTCTGCTGAAAAGAACAAGGGTCAAAATTGCTTATCAGTGCAGTTTAACAAGTATGGTGAGCGCAAAGAGATGCTGTTAGTGTCAGGCTCTTTACTGAGCCTAACTCATCGGGTTCATACGGGAGCGTATGTGATGGTGTGTTTACCAATTCGCCTGTACTTAAAGTAAGAGATGCCTTCCAAAATCCATCCTGTTTCCTTGCATTTTTCTAATTCCCAAACTCTTTTCCACATCGACATTTCAGGAATAAAGAGATCAGGAAAATTGGCAGATGGAGTTAAGAAAGTATTTTGCCACATATTTCTTTTCCCATATAATTTTTTCAGGAGCCACGGAAGTTTTCTGGACCATTCTTTACTGCTATTCAGTTTTCATATCATACAGGGGTTAAAAAACAAATACTTTGTGTATAAATTTGCCCACAGAAACATAGCTCAGTTGGGGTACTACATGATATTACTGTAAACCGATGACATGGAGCTTTTTGAAAGGATCATACTAAACATTTGCTTTAATTTTACTAACATCTTGTGTTAGTAATCCCAGTTCAGACTCGTGTTTGGTGCATATTTTCTGTTAACGTGAACTGTACTAGACTTTCCATGACAGACTTTAAGTTTTGGTTGCACATGGAGCCAGAAGGAGTAAATCCGCCAGTGAAAATATTAGCTTGGGGTCATAAGTAGTACTTTGAGACTCTTTTTCTGGGGTCATTCTTTACCCTAATCCTTTTTCTTATTATCTGTACTTACTTAGCATAGCAGCACCCAGTTAGATCCTAGAACCAGTTGTTGCAGGGAAACATATCGTGAACCTGAAAGTGAAGCTTTTCAAGAGGACAGATTGGCATCACAGCACATCGTCAGCTGTTTTCTAACCTTTTCAGGCTGAAGAGTTTTGAGTGCTGTGCAGAGTTGAAGACTAGATAGAGGTGGGGCTGATTTGCACATTCAGTTTGTGTAAATAAGATGAACCAAAGGTGTAGAGTTACATCTCAGTGCTTTTTGTTAGGGCACAAAAGAGATATTTGCGATGACGAAAAGCTAGAAATACATCAAGAGTTTTTGGGATACCTATATGGGAAAATAAGGTACATTTACATAATTTAGATTTTGTTTTCAGTAACTTTAACATAACTTCACTTTCAATGTAGTGTGCAAATGCAGAGTTTTGAGTTTGTTTTTCAAGACTAAAACTCTCAACCTCACGCATTCTTATCAACACATAAGAAAAACATATTCGACTAATTAAAGTTATTAATAATGACTAAGCAAGTCCCAGCAATAAATAAAGTGGATTGGTCGGCTGAATTTGACCTCTTCCCAGAATAGCCCAGAACACATGTGAACCTCCAGGCTCTCTGAGCTTACAGCACATACGGATGACTTTTTTAAGAAAATATTTTTTAAATGTCTGACTTATTTATGGAAGATGAAAAACGAGGCATCTGTCATAAGTGATTTAAAGGGCATGCCCTGCCTTTGAACTTGGACTGAAATATGTATGATTGAGCACTCTTCATGTTCCCGCTCTTCGAGCACCCGGTTGACAACCTTTAGCGTTAGTGTTGTTTGGTAGCTTACAGCCTACTGGATTCTTTGACTCTGTTGCATAAGGTTCGATTAGATGTGGATTAGTTTGATTTCCTGCACTTTGATTTCTGGAACAGTCGATGTGATATCTGTTTTGAGGCTGCACAAATAAACCTGACTTGACAGACAGCAGTGCGGGCAGATGCAGAATGGCTTTTCTGCGAAGGCAGGATCAGAGTCCACTCGTAAAGCGCATCATTTGTTTAGAGAACAGTTTAAGCGCTTGTTTACCCCGACAGTGACGGAAAACCTAGTTTTTCTTTATGACTTGCTGCTAAGCACAC